CTGAAGGGTCTAGGCCTGAAACGTCAGCCTTCCTGCTCCTCTGATGCTGCTTGGCCTGTTGTGTTCATCCAGCTCTACACCTTGTTATCTCAGATTCTCCAGCATTTGGAGTTCCTACTATCTCCTCAGCCTCACCTGTATTTGCAACACAGTGAAATTAAAATATTCATTAACCCTTAAAGTTACCCTGTGTGTCCTAACCTGGTTTCTTGGATAACCAATACAAGAGACCAACTTTATAGCTTAACCAAAATAATTAGCAATTTGTTAATGTTTAGCAGAGCAAAATTTTAAGCAGCAGGTAATCTTAATTAATGTCTATGATATAAACCCAGCCTTTTTGATTCTAGCCCCCTGTCTCATAAAGACAGACACAGTTAAGAGATAAAACAAAAGGAAAATGAGATGTAACTGGCCAGTTTTCTTAAGCTGTTTCCACAATGGGATTGTATCTTGCTTTGTTTCTGAAGACATTGGTCAATGCAATAATCCTGTAGGCTCCGAGGGAATATCTATTTAATTCTTATTGGAAGGTTGGATAATAGAATCTCAGTTATAAGTTGATGGGAGAATGACTAGGGAGTAATCAAAACTCTGTTGTAGCTTTGACAGCCACAATCCTTCTGATAAGACACAGTTCATACCTAGTTTGAAGTTTTGGTTTCTGTTTTTTCCAACACTTGCTTTGTTAGACAGGCAGCTGTTAACATTCAAACACCTGCTATCTATTTGAGAATAATGCCTGTCTAGAGTTGAAATGTTTATTGAGTACTTGGAACAAAATTCAACCTACAATTATTTTCCAGGCCTAAGCTCATTTAGCAAACTTCAGTTTGTTCTCTTTTCTTAAAAAAAAAAAAGTAAGCTGCTGCTCACAGTGCAAAAAGTCACCTTCAACTCTTGGCTCATACCAAAAATGATTTTAAAAAAACTCAAGTGAGCTATTTAGCACCAGTCAGTGCATCATGGTTAGTCTTCATCTCAGTTAGGAAAACGTTTAGTTTCCTGATCACTGTTCAGTGACTTGCACTTGAAGCACATGAATGTAAAATTGTGCATAGCTTCAGTGGGCACTGTAGTTGGTTCAACACTTGGTGGCTTGGCATACACCTGGAAAGTACCACTTGCTACTGTACTTGGTATAGCAAGCATTGATGAAATTGGAAGAGAATGAAAAGGAGGGGGGGGATGGGGGGAGGAAAGGTAATATTAACTTTTTTTTTTGTCCTAAAGGAAAAGGGCTTTGTCTGTGCTGAAAGACCAGTGCTTATTTTGGGGCTTGCAGGTACTTAAAAGATCAATGTTACCACTTTGGTTAGTGGCAAAAGCAGTACTCCCCACTAACCTTGAAGAAAACTGTCCACATTGATCTAGTCTAATGTTTTCAATTCCAATAGATCCTGTTTTTGCTGGAGCCTTGTTTGCCAATGCATTATCAATGTTTTGAGTATTTGTAAGCAGCGTTCTACTGTTTCTGCAATGCTTTCAAAAATGCATGTATGTAAAATGAATTTTAAAAAGGATTAGTGAAAGATTACAAAGCTCATGTGAATTTCATTATGTCAATTAGAATCTATGTAAATGATAAGAGCGTTTGTGGAACAGTGGTAGCATCCATACCTCTGAGCCAGGAGGCCCAGATTGAAGTCCCATCTGCTCCAGAGGTGTCATAATGTCTTTGTTCAGATATTTTCTAACCAACCCATTCAATGAACAAATGTATTGATGGATTTCTTAGTGAATCAATGTTTCTTGTTTTGAGATGGTATAACCGGATACTGCCTGAATTTATGCCTAGTGATTTAACAACAGTCCTCATTTTCTTTCATTTTTGTTTCAGTTGACCAACAGCAAGTATCCTATCAGGTTGTATAAACAGAACATTTCAGCAGTGCAGAAAAAAATCTCTTCAGGCCACACTCCTAACGTTGTGGTCTGTGTGTATTTTTTTTCAATTTTTTTTTTTTTCAATTTCCAACAGCAGTGATTTGTCCTGATTGTCTTAATTTCGTGTAACAGATCATAGATTCCTGCAGTTCAAAAAGAGGCCATTTAGTCCATTATACTTGTGGAACCTCTTCGGACAGGCTATCCATATAGTCCACCCACTCTTGCTCTTGACTTAACCTTGCAATTTTTTCCCCATGAAACATTTATCCAAATATATTTCAAATTATTGAATCTGCTTCTATAATCCTTTTTAAGTAGTACATTCCAGATTGCAACAGCTTACTGCCTAAGTTTTATTCCCTCATATCTCCTATGGTTCTTTGGTCAATCACTAAACCTGTGTTCTGTGGTTACTGCTGCTACCAACATTGGAAATAGTTTATCTTTATTTGCTGTATAAAAATGTGTGTAGACTGACAGAAAGGAACAGTGTGGTATGTTTATTTTTTGCTTTTGGACAGGAGTAAAGTCCATTTTAAATTTAAAATGGGGGTTCTTCGCCCCCTTCATGGCTGAAGAAAAGTATAGCCCAAGGTTCCTCTCTTTTCTTTGTGTGATTTGACCCCATTTTGTTTGAGTTGCTGTTCATGACTGACTCATTGCTGGTAATTGTGGTGACAGGCTCTAAGAAGAAGGTCAGATGGTTTCCCGTTAGGAGACTCTTCGCCCAACCCTGCCCCAGTCTCAGGATCCCTTACAGGTTTTTAAAGACAGGTGGGTGGACTGACAGATCTCGGTGTGTAGTTTCTGAGACTTTATCTTCTGTCAATCCACTTTTTCTTCCTCTTCCTTTTTATACTTCTCTCTTGCTCCTGACAGGTTTTGCAACACTTTTTCACCCATAAGTAAAAGCCCTGCATAATGGATTTAAGTGCAAGTGAAAGTCCTTTGATTTTGCTTCATGATGAGATCCAACCCTGCTCCCCTCTAAGCAACGTTGCCAGTCAGCACTCCATAAATTTATCAATGCTTGCCATTACCATCTAGACAGTGCTTTCTAGAACTTTGATAAAGGTTTTGGAGTAATTGACCCTATAATGGTGTAGTAACAAAACTGAATTGTAGTTGGAAACAGTCTGGTAATTGATAATGGAACCTTTTTGCTGCTACCTGAAAGAGTACAATTTCCAGTCCAAGGTTGCTGGGTTTTTTTTTCTTTGAGGGTGCTGCACTGTCTAAGATTGATGACATCTAAATTACAACCACTTTGTTGCCCTATGAGTCTGTAACCAACAGTAGTCATTTATAATCAGCCCTGAAAAAACACAAGTTCTCATCTTTCACTTAAAATCTCTCGTTGAAAAATTGCTGTTTGGAGGGGAAAAATAAAGTCATTAAATCCAAAATGTTCATGTCACAACTCCACCAGCTTCTACAGTCTTCTTCGTTCTCCAGAAACTCATCTCATTGACCCGTGGGTCATTTTATAAGCTACTTCAAGACTCATTCTTTCAGGCTGTTTTCACAACTTTTATATTACCTGACTTCTCTTTTTGCTCCTTGCTTCCTTGACTTTAAACACGTTGTCTAGTGATTTGAATGTTTCAACTCTTTTGATAATCTGAGGATTTGCTGGAGTGAACTTATCGATGCCTGTTGTTTGGGAAAGATGTGTGGTTAAAGAGCAAAGCTTCTGTAGTGAAACTAGTTGGACTTATGTTGATACTTAATGGGAAACTCGGCATTAATTATGTGTACCAGACCAAATGAGCATCTTTGCTTCTGATGGTAAGGATTCCCTCAATCCCTAAGTGTTTTTAGCCAGCTGAGCAGTACAAACCAGGATAGCCCAATTTTCATTCACTGGTAATTGATGATCTCAGTCAGGGTGGCATCAGGAGCATGAAATCAGCTTCTAAGTCCCCACATTAGCATTTAGTGTTCCATCTTTTAGTCCCCATGCAGTCTTTCCCTACTATGTGTTTGCATTGTGTAGATATTGGTTGAGGATATGATCCATTATGGTACCTCGACAGATAAATGGTCACCTGGATAAAGTACCTCTTAAAGAGCCATTCTCAATCCCAGAGTTCATAATTTCTGGGTAGGATGGAGAGAACAAACATTGAGAAAAGATGGTGGAAGTGAAATGTAAAGTGAAGGTAGAGCTCTTGATTGGGAAAAGCTGGTGTTGTTCTTCTTGGAGAAGAGAAATTGGACAGGAGACTTGATAATCCTTGAGGGGTTTGGGTAGAGTAGATAGAGAGAAACTAATCCTATTGGTTAAAAGGTTAAGTATAAGAGGACACCGATTCAAAGTGATTTTCAAAAGAACCGGAGGTAATATGAAGAAAACCTTCATGCGCATCTAGTTGTTAGGATCTGGAATACACTTCCTGAGTGCAGCAGAGGTGGATTTGATCATTGTCTTTAAAAGAGAATTGGATAATGATCTGAGAGATTTGCAGGGTTTTGAGGAAAAGACTGCACAATGGGGCTAGGTGAGTTGCTTTTGCAGAGACCCAGTGCACACATGACAGGCTGAATAGCCTCCCTCTGTGCTGTAACTATTCCCACCAGTGAAGAAAGTTGTAGCTAATCACAGTATGCCTAGCACTGTTCCAGCTCAGATTAATCTATCAGCCAGATTAACGGGTAAAATGTTATCAAGTCAGGAAGTCCTGAACAAAAATAGGAAACCTTCAGCTGGTTAGGAAGCATTAACCTTTTGAAGAGATCAACCTTAAAGTTTCAGACTTTTACACCCCTGCATGAGATTTAGTTCACATCAGTTTGTTCAACTTCTCCTCAGTCCTTTTTATATACCCTGTTACGATCTAGTTTTAAAACCTCTGTGGCATACTATGTCCATTCTTCCTGGCTTTTCCTGCACTTTTTTCTAACTTACTTTATGACAATTGATCAATGTACAAAATAGTTAACTGGAAATGAGAGGTGGTACATGCAAACCTAAGGGTGCACATACTGTCCTCCGGTCGATAAGCAAAGTCCAAAGTTATATTTGGTTCCTTCATAATAAGTTACAATTATGCTTTGTGATCATTAGATGCTTTTCTGTTGCTGTTCATATTTGCTTGCTATTGGCATAAACAGTATTGTTGTTACTGTATGGTAATGAGTAAAGGGTTACATAATACTATCTTGCTCTATAGGTCACTGATCTGTCTGTTTTTTTAAAGCTGGGGATCCCAGGGTTATCCCTGTAATTGCAACAGTCCCAAGCTAGGAGGTTGCATTTTGTAAGACATTCCCTAGGGGTGAATTGATTTACATAGTCTAGCATATGCACCCACAACTTGCATCTCTACTTTTAGTGAAAATTGTAGTCAACTGCTGCAATAAAATGAGCCACTTCTGATTGAACAGAAGTCATTCAAAATAAAGGTAAAAGTTTTCATCAACGTCACTTGCAGGTACTGATTTGAGGGTTTTCACTTGCCTTAACGTCTGACTACCCATTTCAAATATGTCAAATGGGTCAATGCCACTGAAATTTCCCAGCTGTTGGTCCAACCAATCCACCTCCTATCCTTCAACATCTAATTCTAACAATATAATCCTAACCTTCCATCATATGTTTGTCCACATTTCCTTAAACATCATTCACTTCAATTACTTGCTCTAGGACCAAGTTTCATGTTCTTGCCACACTCTCTGCATAAAGAGGTTTCTTCAGATCCCTATTTAATTTTTTGGTGACTCATCTATGTAGATGACCTCTAGTTTTTTTTCTTCCTTTCACAAGTGGAAACCACTTACTGACTATCAGAAGCTTTGTGATTTTTTTTTTTAATATCTGACTCCCCTCAGCCTTTTCTTCAAGAGAACAGAGATCTAGCCTGTTTATCCTTTCCTGATTCCTGCATTTCTGATATCATACTTAGAAATAATTTTTTATCCTCTCATGCTTCTGTTTTTTTTTTGTAACATGGTAATTGCAGCTGGCTAATCTTCCTCCACTTTCCTTTCCAGGCTTCACTTCTCCACCTGCTCGAAGTGGACATCGTTGTGTTGCTGATAATTCAAGCCTTTATGTGTTTGGAGGTTATAACCCTGACTACGAGGAGTCAGGAGGACCGGGTAATGAAGACTATCCACTTTTCCGTGAACTCTGGCGATACCATTTTGCTTCTGGCACTTGGCAGCAAGTGGGTACAGAGGGGTTCATGCCCAGGGAACTTGCATCTATGTCAGGTATATGTTACGCCACTTCTCATTGCTTTTTCCATTACTACAAATAAAGTTTTTTCTTTGCTACCATCGTCACTCAAGAGTTTCTGTGGCGTATGATGGTCAGAAGAGTGAAACGTTTTGGGTTCCATCTGTTGGAGCTACTTTGGAGCTTGGCATCTGTTTGAAAAAGTGTGTTGGGTTTATAATATCCCTGTCCCTGCACTCGGTATGTTGATACTTCATTGTCCATCAGTTTCACACATCTGGAATGTAGGAACCAACTGTTTAAAATAGCCTTAACTCTACCTCCTTCCCTCACCCCTTGCTCTGCAAACACAGGCTCTCCTGGGAACTATACAGAGGGTGACTAAGCCCTATGTTCTGAAGACAAGGCAGTCTTTACTTTCTGTCCCATTTAGTTTGAAGTTTTAGTATCTTAGGAATTGCATGACCAATTTAAGTAAAAAGCTGGCCTTTTTTTTTTAAACAATATTCCCTCCTCATCATGTTTTGTTTTTCTGCTAGGGTTTGGAGCTAAATAAATCAGCATTATATCAAAACTGCACAATTATTGTGTAATGTGTGCAAACGGCAGAATTGGAGACAAATACAGAACTATTGAGAGAAATCATGAACAAGAGAATTGGTTGGTCGGCGGATGGAGTGGAAGAGTTATATACCACTGTGAATGGTGGTTTTTGTAGTGAGATGCCATTTTTTAACAAGCATATAGAGAATGTTGGATACAAGGCCAAGGGAAATTGTATTTGCACACAAGCCAACACTTTTTTTTTCCTGTCTGGTGTATTGGGACAAAAGTTTACAGTGGCACATATGCAAGAGACTGAGATAGAACCCGGACACTTGGTATAACTGGGTTATCAAAATTGCATGGTACACGCAAGTCTCCTTTCCCTAGAAGATAATTACTTTTGTGATAGTCTAGTTTCAAGTGTAGGTCGTGCTGACAACACTCTGCAATTGTAACATTTCTTACTGTTGCAAATTAATAGAATCTTTTGTTCTGTGAAGTTGTGTACAGTTTTATTTGTGGCTTCAATGTTGCAATTTAGTGCAGCAATGCTGATCAAACAAAAAATCTTTCCTTTTTCCTTTCAGTTGTTTTACATGGTAATAACTTGCTGGTATTTGGAGGCACTGGTGTGCCTTTCGGTGAGAGCAGTGGGAATGATGTCCATGTGTGCAACATTAATTATAAGCGATGGGCACTACTCAACTGTCGAGGGAAGAAACCCAACCGCATATATGGGCAGGTCAGTGAGACTCTGGCTCTCTGAATCAATGGGGGGGACAACTCAGCATGAAACAGTGATACTTTTTTGCTTCTTCCCTTCATTGACCCTTCAACCCTATCGCAGCACCCCCAAAAGCCCACGCATTCTCTCTCTCTCTCTATGTTTTTCCACACCCCCCCCCCCCCCCCCCCAACTTCATGGCTAATGACATCCCAAAGAAGAGGCATAACATTGAGTGTTTTCCCCTTTTTCCTCTGTCGATTTTTCCCTAACTTTTTTTCCTTATCTGAAGATATTAGTTCATTGCTAGAATCTGGGATGGATGGATGGATATCAGCCCTGGTATCTCTTGGCAATTTGTCAGCTGCACCCAATACTTTTCTCACCCAATATTGATTACACTGCCAAAATTCCACTGGAATTTCAGAGTAATTTGGGATATCTGGTCAGCATGGACGAGTTGGACTGGAGTCTGTTTTGGTGCTGTACAGCTCTATGACTCTATACCAGTAGAACTTGAATTGCAGCCTAATTGAGATTAGTTATCTTTCTTCCCAAATTGGGAATCAAACATCACACCAACCTGGTCTGGATGGTTCAGCTGCTTTGTTAGGCTCTGGGTTGGTTCCTTATGAAGCAGCCTATATGCTCTTGCCCACAAAGTTCAGTGTAACTACAAGTCTAGATAGTGAGGTGATTTGACAGTAAAAAGCACTGCTTGGGATCCCTCTCCTGTCCACATAAGCATTTTCCAGCAAGTGACCTGCCTGTAACACTAAGATCCATTACTGTGCCCTATTTGAGTTCCAGAATATGTGTCAGACCAAGGATGAAACTTTATTATCTTGAAACATGTGATGCAGTATGATGATTCTGCTTTAAACAGTTTCTGTGTTGTCAGCATTTTAAAAATGATTCTTTTAACTAATGGTAGAGTTAGTTATTTCAATGAAAGTATTTCCAGCTGGACCTGAACCAGATTCCACTTTGCCAGGGAGCTGGAGTGCAGGAAAACTGTACTTGGACCAAACAAGTGATTTGAATCAAAATCAGTGAGTGGTGAGCTGAATGTTTGTTTGTTTTTATCATCACTGCTTATAAGACAGAGGCAAAATCCTTTGAGTTTGTTTTCAATTGTTTGTTTCTTTTTCTCTGTGCTGTCATGCTTGCCAGCCTGCCCTTCGCATCCATTCCCTCAGTTCCATATTGCTGTGTATTTTCTATATTTTCTTAAAAGTTCTTCAATAACATAATTTCTATCCATGTTTCCTAAATGTTTTTGTTCCATTAGGGCTATGTACTTTTTTTTTTAAAGTTACTTTAACTTTCAATTTTGGATATTGGTTTTGTTGCCCTTCAGTTATAAATGCTCTATATATTACTCAATCTTGGTTTGAGTCTGACAATGGTTTGGCACAGTGAAATATATCTTGACAGTGATGAGGCAGTTGGAAGCATGATTTGTTCTTGCTTTCCTACGTTACAACTACTTGTAACATTTCTGAAGAAGGGTCCAGACCCAAAACATCAGCTTTCCTGCTCTCTGATGTTGCCTGGCCTGCTGTGTTCATCCAGCTCTACACCTTGTTATTACAACGACTTGTGTTCTGCACAGCAGAGCTCAGGTCTTGCCCTTCTGTTCTCATTACAGTATTACAACATTACAGTAGCACCTGTATTTAAGAATTGGCTCACTTGTTAACACACAGCTAGCTCCACTCCAGTTAGACTGGCAAAACATGACTTTAAAGTTTGCAAACTTCCACACATTCCTTTGCTGCTGCTTCAAGCCCCAATTTCCAGTTTGAAACCATATCACAGTAATTGGGAAGGATCTACAATCTGCCTTAATTTCTTTTAGTTATAAAGGATGGCAGAAGTGGGTAAAGTTGATCAAGATTCATGCATCCACCTTCTATCTTGGAACCTTGCTGAAAGTTGGCGTTTCTGGGTAGCGGTGAAAACTGGCTCAAGTGTTGACTGCAAAACCTATCTAACAAAATCAGCTAATGTTTCAGTCGGAGGTCCAAAAGGTGGTAATTGACTGAGGCAGGATATCACAGGATGGATACTTCAAGGAGAAGTCAAAACATGAAACTTAGGTAGTTTCAACAGCAATGCAGTAATCAAAAATTTCACCAATGCAAGCTTCCATATTGCATTGCTGTAGAACCTGTTACTGGTGGGAAGGCATAATTGTACATGGACCTACATACATAGTCACCTCACTGTGTGTGGACATTTTTTTAGGATTTTGTAACGGAAATCTTAAAATAAAGATGGAATGAATGACATTCAAATAAACGTTGAACTTTTGTGCCCCTGTCCAAGTATTCACCCACTCTTCAATCCTGCTTCAATTGAACCTGAACCGAATCTCCAATTCCAACTCCCACTAATATCTGATCTCACAACTATACCTGTTATTGTACATCAGTGCTGTAAAATGTAGGCCGTTTGCATACAATATTTGAGCGGTTTTCACCTGCTGGAAATACCATTTCTAATTGTAGCAGTTTGCTGAGGAGGGAGTAACTCTTGCTTTTATTAAGCAAAGGGGAGGCTTGCCACTTTTTGTCAAGTGTTGTCCAAACTTTGGTTATACGAGACATTTTCCTAACTGTTTCTAGAAAACCACACAATTGAGACATTGTGTATTACAGAATCTGAAAAGAAATGAAGTACAGTTAGTCAACAGATTAAATTAGTGTTCATAATTGTTAACAAGTTGTGCCCTAGAAGCATGTTGAAACTAACAAATCAATCTAACTCATGCATTATATAATGCTCTGTGTCGATACCCATGGAATCTTGGGGGGCCCATATCTAAAACTTAACAGCATTCACATTTTTCTTCAGTCAGTAAGACCTCTTGGTGTGCTGAATTTGGGGTTATCCACTAGTGGAGGCAATATTGCTAAAAAAACAAAATGGCCCTCTCAACCTCCAGTCTTATGCAATTCAAACAGCATAGACTGGGGAATACAAAATAGTGATGTAACCTTGGACTGCAAAGTCAGCACTCAAAACCACATGTCAGACATGAGCTGCACTTTGGACAATGTATTCCCATCTTTTGTCTTAGCTCTTCATCAGTGTATCTTTGCTTTTGACCATTCCAGGCGATGGTGATCATAAATGGATACCTTTACATATTTGGTGGGACGACTGGTTATGTTTACAACACAGATTTGCACCGATTAGATCTTACAGCTCGGGAGTGGATACAACTAAAACCAAATAACCCTCCTAGTGATTTACCTGAAGAAAGGTGAGCCACAGCTGATAATGGGGCAGCTCTTTATCAAATAATATCAGCGGGCTTCTCATTGTGTTGGCTGTGACTTCAGATTCTTTGCAGCTTTTGAATGCAACAAATTTTTTTGCCTAATTGTTAGTTTTTATTAAAAAGGGCAGTCTGGTTTGGACAGTGTTAACAACTGTATCCATCGAGATTAAAGCACACAGCAAGAAGGGTTGTGCCTTAATCCTTACCTGTGTTGAATTGCATATACCATCCCAGCAGACTTTGAATTCTTTGAGCTCTGTGTTTTGAGAGTGTACAATGGGTTTTTACACGTTGATGGAAGAGGAGAAGTGAGAAATGACAATGACATACATTTGCAGTGAAGTATTCTTCCAGCACTCCATTAGGATGGTCTCTAAAGTGGAATAACCCATTCACTGGGACACATTCTACAATAGAACATACCTCTTGCTGGGATGACTAGTGGCTTCTAGGTCAAGATACAAGGGTACATGGGCCACATAGAACTGTGAACCTAAGGATGATTGAAACCACTCTCAATGAGGCTATAAATCAAAAATAATTGATTTTATTAATACAAAAAAGCTAATGGGTATAAGTGTCTGCTAAATTAGCTTAATAAAGTTGTGCTGAGAGACATGACCTATGGACTCTGTCTACATTTTGAGAAGTTGAGGAAATTCTGAGAGCAAAGGGCAGAATTGGAGAGAAATGGGCAGGAATGAAGGATCTGAAGAAGTGGTGGCCAGTGCTAAAGCTAAGGAAGTGGTAGAAAAGGAGAAGCTCTATCAGAGGAGAACTTGGTGTATATGGAAACACAAGTGAGGTGGAGAAACAGGAGGACATCTAAGATGGGTGTGTATGGAGGCCTTTACTTCAAATTTCCTGGCAATTCTCATTGGTGGGTATGGAGAATCATTTTGATCTAGAGAATTCCTAAGTACCAGACTTAGTGAAGATTCTGGGGGGGATGATTTTTGAGCTGCGGCAGGAGGCCAGTTGGAGTAGCATTGGAGCCTGCATTCAGGTTCTTGTGTTTGAAAACCGCTGTAATGGATCTGTTGGACTTGACTGCACAACTTCAAGGAACAATGGGTGGTCTGGGTTTGAAGAACAGCTGAGTAAGAATGTTTGAGGCTACTTGTGTTTTCAGGTACCGACATGAAATCGCTCATGATGGGCAAAGGATATACATATTAGGAGGAGGAACATCATGGACAACGTATCCACTGGATAAGGTAGGGAGAGATCACTTGATCCTGAAACACATAGGAGGTTATAATAGATTTATACGGTGTTACGTCAAGACATTGTAGATGAAATAAAAAGGATTCTTAGAGGGTGTCAGATGGACTCTATCCAGTGTCAAACTTCACAAGAGTGATGTCAGGCTGGGTGTGGGGGCTAATGATGCAGAAGGGAACACACTCTGTTATTACCAGGCTGGAAGGAGGGGATAAGTGGAAAATTCCATTCATCAGGTTCAAGGTGGACTGCTGGGGGTGGGTGTGTCTCTAGAATGAACTGCTACATAGGAAGCAATATTGATCCAACTGATGACCTATGTGTGTAGCATTGTGGATATAGGGTTTAACTTTAAGGACATTAGAATTACATTTCTAAAATGTTCTATAAACATGTAAAATATTTTAAGTTGTAAGAATGAACAATGCAATTGCATCATGAATGAATTAAATTGAGCTTGGAAAAGAATGTACAGAAGTGAACAAAATCATCCCAAATATAAATAAAGGTAATCCAGTCCATAGGATAATTTAAACTAATAACTAACTTTGATTAATTTCATCCCTTACTTTTTTTTGTTAAAGTAAGTAACTTTGGATATTACATGAGTTCAAAGCTTTGTTAGATGCTTTGCTGGGACATTGTGGGGACAAGTCAGTAGGTTGAATGGCTTTCTCTTGAGGTTCAAAACGTTAAGCCTATTTCACAGTATGATGTTCTATAACCTTAATTTTCATGTTCTTTTTCCATTTACAAAGATGTAAATTCAAGACTTGTTTCATTTTCAGATACATGCATATAACCTGGAGACTAATACGTGGGAGGAAATGCAAACAAAACCACAGGATAGAACAGGTAAGTTGAGAATATGTTGCTTTGCTAAATATTTCCTAAAATGTATCCAAGAGGATCATTGAACCCTCTGCATTTCAAAGAGATTTTCGAAAGTCTATTGCCAGATTTTTTTTTCCTAATATCCTTATCCTCCTGTTTCCATCCTTTTTTTTTCTGCTCCTTTCTGAACTCTAATCAATCCCTCTATGATTTGAGATAGTAAGAACTGCCAGTGCTGGAGTCAGAGATAACCGTGTGGAGCTGGAGGAACACAGCAGGCTGGGCAGCATCAGGAGCAGGAAAGTTGACGTTTCTGGTTGGGACCCTTCTTCAGACCCGAAACATCAACTTTCCTGCTCCTCTGATGCTGCCTGGCCTGCTGTGTTCATCCAGCACCTTGATTTGATTGTTGTTCTAACAAATGCTGGGCACCATCAGCCATCTCATCAGTGATAGCTCTCGTACGTGAACTTGCAAACTGCTGAACCTAAGAAGACTTAAAATAGAATGATTACAGCATGGCGGGAGGGCATTAGGCCCATCAAGCATCGCCTGTTCTGAGGAAGAGCAATTTAGCTCATTCTACTCACCCGTCTGTTCCCTGTGTAACTGCAAATTTTCTCTCTTCAGCTGTCTATCCAATTTATCTTTGAAAATCATGATTTGAATCTGTATTTATTACCCTTTCAGACTGTGGAACCTAGAATATAACCATTTGTTGCTTTTCTAAAACAAAATCTCATGTAGCTTTTTTTTTGCCAATGACTTTAAATCTGGTTGCTGGTCTCTCTATTAATGGCAACAGTTTCTCTCTATCCTTTGTCTAAACCTGTCAGGATTTTGAACACCTCTATCAAATCTCCGCTGAACCTTCTGTGGTCTAAAGAGGACAAACTTTGTTTCCAGTCATACAGAGAAACATTCTCCAAATTTTTTTGTTCCTTTTTTAGAAAGCTTTCACATCCTTCCTGAGATACAGTACTCAGGATTGTGAGTACTCTGTCCAGTTCTTGTTGCCCTGTTATAGGAAGGAAATTATTAAGCTGGAGAGAGTTCAGAAGAGATTTCCTGGCATGTTATCAGGAATGGAGGGTTTGAGTTATGGGGAGAGGTTGGATACGATGGGACTTTTTTCACTGGAGCATAGGAGGTTGAAGGGTGACTTTATAGAAGTTTGCAAATCAGACATGTATGGATAAGGTGAATGGCAGGTGTCTTTTCCCTGGGGTGGTGGAGTTCAAAACTAGGTGGCATATTTTAAAGGTGAGAGTAGAGAGGTTTTAAAAATGACATGAGGGGCAACTCGATTATACAGAGCAGCCTGTGTGGAATGAACTTCCAGAGGAAGTGGTGGATGTGGGTACAGTTACAATGTTTAAAAGACATTTCGATAAGTACATGAATATGAAATGTTTGAAGGGATATGGGCCAAGCACATGCAGGTGGGACAACTTAGTTTGGGATTATGGTTGGCATGGACTAGTTGGACCGAAGGGTCTGTTTCCACGCTGTATGACTCTGACTCACCCTCACCACACATTCCAGTTGCTACTTCCCACTTTTTCAACAGTGTGAAAACTATCACTTTTCCATGCTGTCGGTTCTAAAGAAGTCATATTTGATTTGAAATGTTAACTCGCTCTACAGATGCTGCCAGACTGGTCTCTAACACTTTGTTAATGAAAACGATCTCTAGCATCCACAGTACTTTGCTTTTATTTATTGTTAGAAATAATATGTCTTTTCCATTCATGAGTTCAATAAACACTTATTTCTTACCCAGTCATCCTCACAGTTTGGATCTTTCTGTAATCATATTTTTAATGGGTTTGTGTTTTCTTGTAGGTTTTCCTGCAGCCAGAAGGTGTCATAGCTGTGTACAAATTGGGCATGGTAAGAAAATATTATTGCAACAATGTTTAGCTTGACATCAGAACTGTATATAGCTCAGTTCTAAATCTTGTACCTGACATTGTGTCCTGTATTGCATATCTATTTATTTTTTAAAAAAAATTTCTCCTCTACAGGGAAACCCTGATGTTCAGGTGTTTTTCCTTTGTACAGATTTAAGTCTAAAAATGAAAAATAAAGTAATCCAACTTTGAGCAATGTCATCACCATTCAGATTTTTACTGTACCACCAGAAGATTTTTTTTTTATAAATGGGTCACCTAAATCTTTTTGTTTCTTTGAATTAAACGTTTTATTGCTCTTTCCTTCTGTCTCATGACTCAGGATAGTATTGTCACCTCTGAGTCAGTGGGTAACTTCTGAACACTTGAACGTGGAAATCTAGGTTTGAGAATAAAAGTCCATTGCACTGCCTGAGGTGCCATCTTTGCAATGAGTTATTAAACCAAGACCCATGTCCATGGTGGATTTAAATTGTCATGGAACAAAAGAGCAGCTTTTTAGGCCTACTTTGCTATTCCAGATATTCTGTGTCTCACTGCCATATTAGTGTACTGTCCAAATGCTCCGCAATGTCATCTTGATGTTCACTATTTGAAGAAAATCAGAGGAATTTCCTAGATTATGTAGCCGTAGCCAGTGTTCATCCCTCAGTAAATATCACTAAAATTGATGACCTGGTCATTGTCATACTGCTGTTTGTGGGAACTTGCTTGCACAGGTTAGCTGTCATGTCTTCTACATTACACGAGCATTGAATTAAATCTCATCCTGAGATTGTGGAAGTCATCCAGTAAGGGATAAACAAATTTTTAGTCATTCAAACTTCCATTTCATAACTATCCACTTCATCCCTCTCCCTGGGAACAATTGGAGATTAAGCCACTTTGTCTGCAACTTTGGTGTCACACTTGACTTCAAATTGAACTTAGTCTTATGAGACAAATGAGATTCTGCCTGTTTCCACTTCTAACATTGTCCAATCATCCCTGTCTCAGCTCATCACTTGTTGGAACACTCCTTTTTGCCTTTGTAACCTCTAGACTTGACTATTCCAACTCAATCTTTACACTTCTCTCACGTTCTGCCTTTCCTAGATTTGAAGTCAACCACATCTCTTTTTTGTTTGTTGTTTAACTCTTGCCCAGTTCTCACCCCAATCACTTCAATGCTTGCTGACTTACTTTAGCTACTGGTCAAATAAGGTCTGGATTATAAAATTTACATCCTTGTTTTTAAATCTCCCCATGGCCTTTCCATGCCTACTGCCTTCAGATATTCCCATGTCTCAATTTCTGGACCTTTGGAAAATTTGTAAATCGAGCATCCAGTGAACTAAACTGCATCCTGAAATGTAATCACTACCATTTGTGACACTGTCTTCAGTTGCCTGGTCCACAAACTCTGAAATAGCCTTCATACACCTCTTTGCAATCCCTCCATTCTTTAAGCCACTCCTTAAACATACCTCTATGACCAAACATTTGGTCACATCCTAATATCTCCTCATGGCTCAGTCTCGTACTTTATTTAGTGATGCTCCTGTGAAGTGCCTCAATGGACTTTAGTATATTGAAAGCGCAGATACACATTGATGTATGTTTGCTGAAAATGACAATAAATTGTATTATTTTTTGGCAGATGTGTATGTGTGTGGTGGATATAACGGTGAGATAATACTTGGGGACCTCTGGAAGCTCAATTTACAGACTTTGCAATGGACAAAGTTGCCTGCGGAAATGCCAGAGCCTGCTTACTTCCACTGTGCAGCTGTAACCCCAGTGAGTAGCTCAGAATAATGTTTTTCCATGCTTGTTTATTTGTAAACTACAATTAGCCACTGCTGAACCCAAGTCGTTGGCCAGGCATAGCAGATGTTCACAGAAGATTGAGAATCTTTTCCATTTGAATTTATGAATAATTGAGCTTCATTAGTCATGGCCCAGGCTTTGTGCAAGGAAAATACAAGAGAATGCTCTGCTCTGTTTTTCAACCTAATACCTCTTTGTTACTGCTTCTCACTTTGGCCACCTACCTATAGAGAGCAGAAAGCAGTGATGGTGAGATTCATTCATTTCTGACCAGATTTTTAATTTGATGCTTGGGACTGTGTTACCTTGGTATCAATCCTGTCTGTTCTACTTTCCTAAATTAAAAGGCATTTACCAGAATTCAGTATATTTCCCCTCAGAACATTTAGATCCACTTGGACAATTTTCTTCTGTGCAGTTGCATAAATGTCAGCAACCACCAGCCTTGCACTCACATCTAGGTCATTTTTTTAAAAAAAATTATAAATAACAATAGTCCCAAGACTAATCCCTGCAGTGTATCATTAGGTCAGCGAAGAAACGTACTCTCATTCCTTAGAAATCTATGGTTTCTTTATTCTCTTTCTTCCCAAATAATGTCAGATATTCTATAAAATAATTCCAAAATGCCTGTCTCCACTGGTCTATTTCAAGCACCATTGCTGCTAATCTGGTTCAACTACAGTATTGCCAAGTGCAAAATGTTCTCTCCCAACACAACACAGGTACTGAATGATAACTGCACTGAAATGCTAGATTTGGCAATGCACAATTGTTCTGCACAAGCTGAAGGTCCTTACTAACTGTGCATTGTGTATGTATGTTTTACAGGCTGGCTGCATGTATGTACATGGTGGAGTAGTCAACATCCATGAGAACAAACGGACTGATTCACTCTACAAAATCTGGCTGGTGGTGCCCAGCCTCTTTGAACTTTGTTGGGAGAGGCTGCTGAAGAGTCTCCCACACTTAACACAGTTCTCCACTACACAGCTACTCAATCTTGGACTCACACAAGGACTGGTGGAGAGATTGAAGTGACTGCCAGAGTGAAGGAGGTAGAAAGAGAGAGACACAGACAGATAAACAGACATGGATTCTGCAACATGGATGATGGGCAGTGTTGGAGGAAGCTGCTGGGAAGAATACTCCCCAAGGCCTTATCTGCCATAAGTGTTCGATGTCTTGGTTACTTTGTTGTTTTTTTTTTTTTGAAAAGACCTCCTGTTCCTTGCTTGCATTGTGTCATGGACTGACCCCCTCACCCACCACCACCTCACAAAGGCAAGTGGAGCCCACTTTGATTTTTTTTTTAAAAACTTGTGCCCTCAGTGGGCTTGCCCTGACACTGGAGTAGTTCCAGTTGAGATACAGATCAGCCTGTCTCTGTAAAGGGCTGTTTCCAGACTGTGTCTCATTAGCTCGTAACACCCTCATGTCTTAACAGTTTTTTGGTCAGTTTTTAAAGTCCCAAGTTAATTCAATATTAAAAAGGTAGTTTCTTTTCCCCCTCCCACAAGCCAATTTCCATGAATCGTAGGTTTTGGCAAGACTGATGATCTCATGGGAAACGGCTGCCTCTTTTTCCTTAAAATCTTTCCTTTTTCAAATTTCTGACAGACTTGCAGTGCATATCCAGTATTTTCTGTTTCAGTTTCAGATCTGAAACATTTTTTTCCTTTTTTGTTTTGGTTGTTGTCTGCTTTGCCTCACCATCCCATTTAAATCTTTGTTGTATCAAGAGCCAAAAACAAGTGATTGCCTTAAGATACTGTTTTAATCACTGAGTACTTTTCACACATGCAGTGAGTCCATCCTGATCGTGTTTGTCTTTTGAGCCATGCTGATTTGGATTCAATTTACTGTTGTGTATTTTTTTTATAAAGCTATAATTGTTCATATGTTCATAAAAGGAAAAGAACACTTCATGTTGCATTCAACTTACTGCCTTGGCTTGTGGAGCCCTCCACCCACGGCTCTAGCTAACCCGTCAGTAATTATAATGGGGCTTTGGTTAGTGTCAGCAGGTCAGTTGAACAGGTAATCTGTAGCCATTGCTGTAGGTGTTCCAAACATTGTTATGGGCAAAGATTTTTGTGGCTTTTTAGACAGTGAACATGCCAGCATGAGCAATAAAGTTACTTTCCACCCAAGCTCACTTTCCCCTTACTGATTCTTAATCTGACTACAAGAGGGGAGACTCTCATTGACATTTTATTCTCTTTATGGCAGCTGCAAAGAAGAACTCCAGTTGTGATATGTTGACAACCTGAAAAAAACCCTGGCAGTTTCTGGGGTTCCCTTTCCCAACTATGTTAGTGTTTGCAAATGTTACTGCTTCCCCCCCCCCCCCCAAAAATAAAGGTTAGGGAATAGATATTTAACCAATGGTTCACTACTCGTAGAGGAATTTGGAGTTGTGATTGTAGGGTTGAGGTTTGGGTACAGAAACCTGATCCTGATCCTATTCCTTTAGAACCCAAAGCCGAGAATGTAGGGAATAGAGCTTGTGACCCTCTCTACACCACTACCCCTGCATCCTACTCAAGCCACCTCATCCTCTATCCAGCTCAGGTAAATTGTCCTGTCTCCCTTTCTCAATTCCCATTGTAGCCTTTGCTCACTTTTTGTGAGGCAGTGTCATCTCTCTCCTCTCCCCGAGTGTGTGTAATTATCAACCCCATTGTGCCAAGACTCAAATTGAAATTATCAACTTATTTTGTTTTGGAAATCTGCTCATTCACTTTCAATTTAACCAGGCTGTTCCTGTCTTTCAGCAATTTACTCTGGCTAAGCCCTCAGCAATCAAGTTCAACTCTTGAAACCACTTCACTTAAATCAATTTGCCAAGTGGCAATAGTAGTAGCAATGTATAGCATAGCAATTATGTTTTGAGAGCAACTGGGTTACTGAAGTTTGCAGCTTATAAATCAATTTGCAGCTGTCAATGAAAATTATATTTAATACAGTAGGGTACATATTACACAGCTGACCATCTCATTAGTTGCCATGATGGAAGTTGAATGGGCTTGCACAGTGCTGGTTCCTAATGTATGCCAAAACTGTTTTAATAAGCCTGTAGTTTTCTAGGTGACTGGTGATTAGGATTTAAACTGGTTCTTGTTTTGCTTTTGTAAAAGAAATATAGTCACTTTTCAACAGAGGCCTATCTTTTTTTAATTGAATCTTCAGAATTGTAAACTCTTGTTAAAAAGAGTTAAGCTGATGATTTGCAAAAGTAAGGCTTTACTCAAGACACCCATTGTAAAAAATGATGGGCTGAAAGGAAAAGTTGGTCAGTCCTTTTCTTTATTTTTTAACCCCATGTCCTGGTTTGACTTTTAAATCACTGCAAGATTTTCTTTCTCCCTGCATCTTTTGTAAAATTGTTAATAAAAGCATGGATGAATCTGTTGAATTTTCATCAAGATGTTTATGACCAATTTCAAAGTGCTTAGTATCTACAATCCAGCTCCTAGCATCTATAATGGACTGGTTGTGTGGTATTACGCCTAGTTAAACATTTTAGCAGTGTAGGCAGGAGCAGGAATGCCACTCAATACCTCCCAGCTATGGTGAAGGTAAGCATTATCCATTTCTACTTGCGTGTTGTATGCCTGAATATGACACTGATTTATACACCAGAATTGGATCAGAAAGATGAAGTGAGTCAGCAGACAATGCATTTTATTTTGAGGCTTTGTGTTAATAGCTGTTTTGATTAAAGCCTGGAGTCTTATGTACAGTTTCCTTTGGGGAATGGATGGGAGTGCACCTTAAATAACAAGTTAAGCAGAAGACCAGTCTTTTCCTTCTGCCCTGTCTGAAGAAACCAGCTCATTAACTTGTTCCCAGGTTGATACATATTCAGTTAATGGTAAGTGAGCTATCTTTAATCAGCACCCCACTACTGGGGTAGCAAGTGCTCCCTTTAGAACAGTTATCAAAGGAAGTAATTTCCTAAACTAATCACAACCCAGCTTTGGTGACAAATGTAACTAAGTTTCCATTAATACTAATTGTATATATTGAACAAATTGAGTTCTAAGTCATCTTTCAAATCGGTGTCTGCATATAAGCACTCTAGGCTACTGCTTTCTCAATAAGCAAGCTAGTTCTGACTATTAGTTAGGTAACAAAGGAGACAGGTATCATTTTCTGGGCCAAAAGATTGCTGAGGTCAGGGGTAGGTTAGTGTTTATGTTGTAAAGTTTGAAACAGAATATCTTTCCCCAATACTAATCAAAAACAAGCATAGATGATGTTCTAACATGTTCAAATTGCTGCTACTCCCATACCCTTGAACCAGCAACTTAGATAGAAGGGAAGGTGCAGCAATGGAGAGTTTGAGGCAATATGTAACCTAGGTGGATAAGGGCAAAAGTCACAACACCAAGTCCAACACTTGCACCTTCACATTAGGACTTGAAGCAACATGACATAGCAATCACAGGGAACACTAGCAAGGAGTCAATATTGAAACCATTTTTAAATTGTAGGTCAGATGAGCACTTCTGTGCAATGAATTTCCATTACGTCTTGATGTTGTTCAACTGTGGGAGGAGTTTAGCAAGGGCTCAAAAAGCAGACATGACTAATCCAGTGAAGGTGGCTTAAGCCATTTCAAAAATGAATGTATGGAAATTTTTGAAAAAAGGATGTCCATAAGACTCAGTTAAGATAAGTAATAGTCATTCCTATCTTACTTTTGTACTATAATATTCACAATTTAAATTTTACTTCACTATTAACAGCAGGCCCTGCTTTCAAAAAAAAAAACCAGCTTTTTCCAAGTCCTAGTTTGCTTAAAAATCAGGGCCTGACCCAGCACAAGTGGTGATATTGCACAGTTAAAAAGTAAAATAGCTTTGCAGTTGTATCATTTTCACTGGGTAGGGATACAAAAACACTTATCACCACACTAGAAACAGCAACTGTGCTATATAAGAAAGTTACCTCAACAGCCTGGGTTGGGAAAGAAGACAGGTGCTCACATCAATTGTTAAACTTTAAGTAGGCTTCTGAAGCCAAAATTTATTGCCAAAATACTTTAGGTTCACTTAGATAGTAGGAACTGCCGCTGCTGGAGATTCTGAGATAACACGGTGGTGTAGAGCTGGATGAATACAGCAGGCCAAGCATCATCAGAGGAGCAGGAAAGCTGGTGTTTTGGGTCAAGACCCTTCTTCAGAGGTTCACTTAGGTTCTGTTTCATGCTGAGTGACTTCAGTCCAACCTCATCCATCCTGACCAGGTTTCCCAAACTAAACTAGCCCCATTTGCCAACCTTTCCTATTCATATACCTGTCCAAATATCTTTTAAAATGTTGTAACTGGACCTGCATCTACCACTTCATTCTATATACGAATCATCTTGTGTGAAGTTGCCCCTTATGGAGTTTTTAAAAAGTCTTTCACTTTAAAATTATGCCTTGTAGCTTTGAACTCCCCTAAAAGAGGAAAGACCTTCACTATTCACCTTATCCATACCCCTCCTGAAGGACCTTGGAGGTTTACAAAATCCTCAACCTCCTACACTCCAGGGGGGGAAAAAAGTGTCCCAGCCTCCCCTTATATCTCCAACACTCCAGTACAAGTAACATCCTTGTAAATCTGTTCTCCGCACCAATTCCCAATTAGCTAAGATCCCTCCCAGAGCAGGGGCACCAGACCCAAAAGTGGCCTCACTAATGTCCTGTACTTCCAGAGCAGTAGGAGATGCAGGGTATGATATTCATCGTAGCTTTCCTCGTTTTCTACCTCAAAAATGTAGAGATGTATGCAATAAGAACCATTTAAATTATTCAGGCTTTAGTACATTTTTGATGTTTCCTGAATAGCCAATGACTATAGGCATCAATATGCAACATGAAGTTGAGATTTTTATTAAATTTGAATTGTTAGGATATGGCAGTATAGGGTATTAGAGATTCATAACTCAGACATCTACCAATGGTCATCTTTCTATCCAGCCTACACCCATATCCACTAACTGGTAATCATCCTCATTTAAATCAAAAAGCATGTCAGATGGGGGATTAAAATCAAGCAGCTCCCTTTATTTTTTCCCATGAGTGTTTAAAAAGGAAGGTAAGAAGTTGGGTGAAGAAGCAATTAGTGAATTATCAGACAGAAGAAGTTGGCCAACTTAATGCAGACTTAAACAGGATAACTACAACCCTCAAAACTCTGCATTCCCATCTTTTACAGCCCATTATTGACTTAAAGGACTGTGCTAATGAAAAAAAGTAGACCACCTACTTGTGCCTCCTTTTTTAAAAAAGGACTACTACTTTGAAATTCAATTAGAAATAAAAGAGCATCAACATCCAAACTGGAGATAATGTGGCCTGTTTAATTCAACAAGCACCTAATGAAGGAGATTAGAACACATTAGTTGGAGTGTTGGACCATGGAGGTTTTTTTTTTTTTTTTTTTTCAATTAATTAACTCCAAAACCAGATGTATTGAAAATGAGTTCAACAACCTTTAAGTATTCAGACTGATATTTTTATCTCCTCATGTGGCAAATCTTTTGATTATACACCACCAATCAAATTTCTTGTAATAGTGGTCAATTGGGCATTAGGATTAATACAGCAGTATCTACTGCTGCCAGGAGATTGAGGAGACTACATTTAAAAAAATTACAAGATGCAAAAGTAATTGGCAGAAAAAGAACTAGTGGCTCTCCTCGCTTATCTCCTGGAGTTGCATTGCCTTGTGCATTACCACATGGACTCTCCACTTTTGCCTCCATGTCAATTGGGAACAATTAACCTGGAAAATTCCTCAACTCCTTCATAACAAACTAACCAGGAAATCATAAACCTTGATTGATAGTACAAGTTCATCAATCTTGTCCAAAGCTGATTGTCACATTAATTTCTTCAGGAGAGTTGAATTTTTTTGTTGTTCACAGTCCAGCCTATTCCAGAAGTTCCACGAGTACCTGAGAAACCACTTAGTTATATCCTTTCATAAAAAAGGAACTTGAAAGAATTACCCATGCTTCTATCCAATTAGAAAATGGATAATTCTTAAACATCTGTTAATGATCGAGATCTTTAAACCAGTGGAGGCTGCTTTTCTAAAATTAGAGATCCAACAATAACTGGTGTTTTCTTGAAATTTTTTTTTCAATCCTTTCTAGAGAGCTATCACATATCATGATAGAGGTCAAATATGACAGTATTTTAACTGAAGCTTCACTAAGCACTTGCATGAGGATAAACCACTTCGTGTTACAATAATTTTCCCAGTGATTATACATAGAAAAATGATACATTAAATCATGACCAAACACAAACTAAAGATATTCATTGCAATCTTTTAGTCCAGTTTCTTGTTAAAAAAAAAAGTTAAACATGACAACCTTCCAACAGATCTATTTACGAATTGAACATCAGCTGTAACTTCAACAATCATCTTGGGTCCAAACGCATATGCAAACTTAGAGATCATTTCTCCTCAATACCTTCATCCAGAGATCACTACTGAAAATAGTGATTTTTCATAGACGTCCAATCTCTCAGCAGATTTTAAAATGTTGACTTCAAAGCACATGGGCACTCAGCCAATTCAACATACTAGATTATCATGAGTTCCAAGAACACAAAAATGTTTTCCACCATTCAATGCAAAATAAAGGCATATTTTGGGCCTCAACTCTTGTTTCTTAAGGATAAAAAAATTAGCTTAGGATGTCTATTCCCCAGAGAGTCAACATTTCCCAACCCCAGTTGCCCTGGAGAAGACAGTGGTACACTGTCTCACTGTAGTCATGTCAGAGCACCCACAGAGCCCACATTTTCCCATTCATTCTACATAGGTCTCAATTTCCAGAGACCAACATCTGTCTAATCTTTGGAATGTATTCAATAAGGGAATATTCCCAATGATTGTAATCAAATCCTTATCTGGAAACTACATTGGGTAGAGAGGGGGAGGGGGAAGAGGAAGAGGAAGAGGAAGAGGAAGAGGAAGAGGAAGAGGAAGAGGAAGAAGAGGAAGAGGAAGAGAAAAACCTCAAAAAAGGAATGGTGCAAATCTGCTAACTACATGGCCAGATCTGCAATAGTATTGGATAACATTAAAAAGCAGGATGCTTGGCAAATTATTCCAGGCTCTTGTCCACACCAACCCAAGGACAGTGTAAACTATTAACAGTCTTGTTACAGGACTTAACAGATACCAAGACAGCCAAGCTTTTGGAAATTCTTTAGCACTGAGGTCAAGCTGCAGGTTTTAAATGGAGATACAAATTTTATTTTAAACATTTTCACTTTATAAATACATTTGTCTTTAGTGTGCTTCCAACACCATACACCTAGTAAGCTAGTATAGCACTAAAGTCACAGCTTCAAGTATTTTTAAACCAGAGTCTGTGGTACAAGTTCAGTCCTTCCAAAACAAACCATATTTAGATCAGAAATGAGCTACAGCTGTTAATAGAATCACAAACCGTAATCTTCAGAAAAGGAAATCGTTCTTGGAATATGCAAGTCAGCAATGATTCAAAAAGGGAGGATTGGCTTACAGAATCTCTTCCAAAAGAGATTTCTTCCAACAAACTCTTCTATCCTCCCAAGACGCAGAACGGTGGAAACAAGGGGACAGACTGGAGAAATGTTGGGTCCATGGTAGGAGAACTCAACAACAGTAAGACAGTGGATCTTGAAATTATGTTGTGTCTGTAAGTCAGCCACCAAAACACCAGCATTGAAGAGCTAACTCACAAAACAGCAACAGCTCCCACTCCTGGAAGAGTCCGAAGGCTTATTGGCTGCAATAGCAATCCTATGAGTTGCTCAAACTTATGGGAAGAGTTCAGGGATTCCATTTCAGCACCCACTTGGAGATGGAGCAAAGAAGTACATGGACATAATGATGAGGTAGACTACCACCAACGCTGTGCCTGTGGAGACAAATCAATATCAAGATTAAAAAGGATAATAAATTCCCAACTCTAGGCAAAGGAGAAGTTGCTGCAGAATGGAAGGTTATCTGCACTCAACACCTTCAGTAAGTATGAAACAACCGCGAGACTAGGCAAACTAGTTGGAGGTTGAATGGTCAGTTTGTGCGCTGGAAATGCTATGCAAACTTGGTTTGGTTTCAGCATTGCTGAGGAACTCCTGCCTAAAAAAAAGAGCAAGTCCTACCTCAGATTTCACATGAATTAAGTATATCAATTGGATATGGATTGAAAGAGAGGCACTAGCATGGCAGTAGTGTCACTAGACAATTATTTCAGAACACCAGGCTATCATTCTGGGCATGTTGATTTAAATCTCACCATGGCAGATGCTGAAATTTAAACTGAATAAAAAAGCTGGTCTGATGGAGTGTATGTAACCCAAATCAAAGATTGTCACACAGACATTGTCCTTTAGGGAAGGAAATCTGCTATCCTTATCTGGTCTGGCCTACATGCGACTTCAGACCCATCACAATGTAGTCGACTCTTAACCCCTCACAGGGGTTAGGAATGGGAGATAAATACTGACTCAGCCAGTGACACCCACGTACCATTAAGATAAAAAATCCAGTTTAATTTTAGCTTAGTTTAAAAAAAGTGCAATGATTCAAACTTGGGAGCCCACAGATGGAGGGCAAAAAAAGGGTTCAACTCAACATTTTCAATTCCACAAACTTCCAGTTAGGCAAGTATTGTCAAATAGGGTGCAGGTTGAATAGCTTTGGCCCAAGTGTAGAACACCCAAAGTACAAGTGACATTTCTTTAGTTGTTCTATAGCCTCTGGTCAAACTTTGTGATGTGGAACTGTGTTCATTAGGAACTAGATCAACATAATCTGCAAGGCCTTTATCCAATAACTTCAGGGCCAGGCAATGACTTAAAAAACAAGGGTGTCTATGCATTAAATACTGCTGGTGTTCAAGTCACATTCTACTGTGGATTGCAGGATGTCAAGTTAAACTTCAACAACAAAAAGTTGTTCAGGACAGGCAACTGTAGTTCAAGCCTAGTTATTAATCTTTAGAGACAACCGAAAGCTGAAACCATTTATTAGGAGTGCTAGCCCCACCTCTTAGGAGACACAGACACCTTTTCAGTTGAGCTAGGGCTTAAAATCTGCTCTCCAGTCGGTGCAAGAGATCCAC